GAGATGGTGTCGCGTCAATTGGACGTGGAAAATTGGACGCACGACTATTGGTCGCAGTCAATTGGACGCGGCGACAATTGGACGCGGCGACAATTGGACGCGGCGACAATTAGACGCGGCGTCAATTAGACGCGGCGACAATTCGACGCGGCCACAATTCGACGCGACGACAATTGGACGCATGCGTAAATAAAAATAATTTTATAATTCCAATGAAATTCATTGTGAAGGTTAGGTTAGGTATTTGTTATATTATAGATTTGAGCCCTGCATATTCCATGCAATAAATTTCATTGGAATTATAAAATTATTTTTATTTTCGCATGCGCTCAATTGTCGCCGCGTCCAATTTTCGTCGCGTCCAATTGTCGCCGCGTCCAATTGTCGCCGCGTCCAATTGTCGCCGCGTCCAATTATCCGCGTCCAATTTTCGTGCGTCCAATTGACCACGTCCAATCGTCGGTAATCTGGTTCAAGATTCAGAATTCTGATCACCCTGTATCTGTTCCAATCATTGAATGTCAGTAGATAGTAAATCTACAGTTGAGATACGGACATGAGAGCCGTTTTGACCGATAATGAATAGTTTCGTCACAAAAAAATCCTAAAGCTGAAAACTCTCGATTTTGAACACCCTATATCTCTGTAATCATTCCCACTAGGCCCCAAGTGTGATGCATTGATCAAATCAGCTCTTCAGGGAGAATCAAAGGATACAATGAAAAATAGGGTGTTCCATTTAAAAAAATCGAATAGTACCCTGTAGATCGTTTGTTCCGAGCACCCTGTATTTTCTGAGGTAGCGGAAAAAACTTTATCGAAAATCATTCAAGATGATATTTCAAATTTTGAAATCGGTTCAAATATAACTGAGCTAGAGGGGGGGAGATTTATGGTGAAGTGAATCTCCCTATACTTACCTAATTTTGATCCATCATTAAGTGGAATTTGAACAAAAAAAAACAACGTTTCTTGCCGTAGTTAACTTATATAACCTTTTAGCGTCGAAATAACAATTTTGAGTTTGAATGGTGAACTTTTTCACAATTCACGCACTGGTGAACCACCTCAAGAAGTCCTAGAATTAACGTCGGCTGTCGACATACGTGAATAACTTTAAGAAAAATGTGCGTCTCCTAGTAAACAAGCCAATACAGCGTTGCCATAGTTATTTCCATAATATATAAATTTATGTTATGATGAAATTAGGGAAATTTAAATTATTTCAATATTAGCATTCATATGTATATTTCAATTCAGGAACAAACATACAGAATGAATATACATAATAAAAAAATAATATATCGAAAACTTCCCACCCTCAATATCTTCTTTCCAGTAAATTATATGAAAAATCAAGAAGACAGGTCGATTTTATTTTCAAGGGGGGCACCTAATATTAATCTTTCTAGCCCTCTTGGTTCGACCCATGGGGAAGGGGGGTCAAATGGCATATCATTCTGAAGAGCGTTCAAATTTCTTTCCAACGGTACCCTAGTTCATCATTTTCTGTTGAGCAGTTTCCGAAAAATGCAGTGTCAATTAAAAAACTTCCCACCTTCAATATCTTCCTTCCAGTAAATAATATGAAAAATCGGAAACACGTCAATTTCATTTTCATGGGGGACACTTTGGATGCTTATATTTAGCCCTCATGGTTCAACCCCCTAGGAGGGGAAAATGTTACCCTAAGAACCTCATTCGAAAAGGGGGCCAAAATGCAGATTATTCTGAAGGGCGTTCAATTCTGTTTTCAACAGTACCCTAGTTCATCATTTTCTGTTGAGCAGTTGTCGAAAAATGCCGTGTCAATCAAAAAACATCCCACGCTTAACCTTTCTTCCAGTAAATAATATGGAAAATCGGATAGACAGGTCAATTTCAAGGGGAACCACTTCAAATGCTTATTTTCAGCCCTCATGGTTCAACCCCTAGGAGGGGAAAATGTTACCCTAAGAACCTCATTTGAAAAGGGGGTCAAGATGCACATTATTTTGAAGTGCGTTCAATTCCTTTTCCAACAGTACCCTAGTTTATCATTTTTTGCAGTTTCCGAAAAATACCGATCTAAATTTACAGGAGTAATATGAACATGCCTGCACTGAGTACTGAGATGCATTGTATTTCAGTTTAAATGGATGAAAGATTTTGAATTGAAAGGCGAGTCAATACAATAATACCAACCTTGAAACCATGCATCTCACCCCTGATTATAGATACCGTAAGGCACCTCAACGTTATAATCAACGTTCCGCAATCAGTAACATAAGACGATGAAATACTCTCGCCAATCTTGTCATATCAATCTGTATTATTATTTTTGTTGGGACTATCAAGTATCATTTCTGCAATTAGCATTGTTTCAAAGCACGAGGGTCAATTTGTTCAAGGTAGTCCAATTCTACCAATGGATGATAATCTGGATTATGAATATTTGGCACTGCTACAGCTGGAGTTCTGATATGTGTGGCAGCATTAGGAGCTTTCGCAAATCGGAAATGTCGTCTGTTCAAGATGGGACCTCTGAATAGGTATTGAATATCAAAAAGTTTCTTTCAAGCTATACCTCCATGTTCAAGAAGAACAATCCCCAACATTTTTCCTTTTTAGTTACGCTATCTATAAAAGCGTGTTTCTTTAGTTTTTCAAACTACCATTTATTTCAACTTCTTTTAAAGTTCACTTGAATTTCCCAATTTTGACGAAATAATCATAATATCTATTGAATAAAAACGTATCCTAATTACAAAATCCGCCATTTTGGATCCGCCATTTTGGATCCGCCATCTTGAATTTTTCAATTTGGACGAAGGAATCATATTCCCCGATCACGAAATCCCCTATAAGTACCAATTTCGAGAAGAATCGGATTATAATGACAAACCTCGTCCGCCATATTGGTTCCGCCATCTTGAATTTCCAAATTCCGCCCGAATTTTCAAATTCTGATGAAAGAATCATAATCTCCGACTCCCAAAACACCCAGATACCAATTTTGAATAGTATCGGACCATAATTACAAAACTAGACCGATATATTAGATCCGTCATCTTGAATTTCCTAATGGTACCGGGATAAAAAGTATCCTATAACCTTCTCCTGGTTCTAAGCTACCTCCCCACCAATTTTCAGCCAAATCGATCCAGTAGTTCCAGAGCCTATTCAATTAGTATAGATAATGATGGAAATAAGTAGATGGTGTACTCACTGATGCGCTATTGTTTCAGAAATTCTCCTCGACCTCCCGAAAGTCCCGTGAATAATGTCTTTAGCTGTTTTCCTATAGATGGCGACATTGCACAATTATGACATCGGTCAATTTTATAAATTGCCGCAGATTTTTCGAATTCAGAGTTTATCAATCCCACTGTTACATATGTTCCGCGTACCTAAAATGCCATTTTCCATTTTATTTCCATTCGTCACAGCAGCAATAGCAGCATCACCATCTAGCGGAAAAATGTAGAATCAACGTCTCGCTCGATGTGACGTAGAGAAATTATAGTAGGCGGTCGAGTGATGTTTCTTTAGTTTTCAATACGTAAAAATGGCCAACTACACGCACCATCTACTTTACGTAAAAATGGCCGACTACGCGCACCATCTACTTATTTCCATTATTGTATAGATGAATGGATAAATTGAAGTTATCAAATTTATTCATATTCCGTACAATATCCGTGCAATCTTCTTCTTCCAACTAGTCTCCTTGATGGCATTGTTATTTATATATATATATTATATGTAGAACAATTATTATTATATAAGTAATATCTTCAATTCCTAATTCCAACCTCCTTTCTGCATGACGTTTGGTCACCGTTCCACAACGAGAACGTATAGAAAGATGAAAATGGGCATCTCTCGCGTTGCAGCCACGATCAGTGTTTTGCGGAACAACATTCTATAGACAGTACTGAAAAAAATCCTATGTCTTATCTTCTATCGCGTAACGGAAGTACTCTCGTTACGTTACGTTATTTAATCTATAAATCAGGGGTCAGTGCAGATATGTTCTGATTACTAAGTTTAGAAAGGCATGTTTCGGAAACTGCTCATCAAAATATGATAAACTAGGATCCTGTTGGAAAGAGAATTGAACGTCCGTCAAAACAATGTGCATCTTGACCCCCTTTTCAAATGAGATTCTTAGGGTAACATTTTCCCCTCCAAGCTGGTTGAACCATGTGGGCTAAAAATAAGCATCCAAAGTGTCCCCCATGAAAATAAAATTGACCTGTGTTTTCGATTTTTCATATCATTTACTGAAAGAAAGATATTGAAGTTGGGAAGTTTTTTAATAGACACTGCATTTTTGGGAAACTGCTCAACAGAAAATGAAGAACTAGGGTACCGTTGGAAAGAGAATCGAACGCCCTTCAGAATGATATGCCATTTGACCCCCCTTCCTATTTATGATTCTAAGAGTAAAATCTACCCCTCCTAGGAGGTTGAACCAAGAGGGCTGAAAATATCAATTTTAGGTGTCACCCTTGAAAATAAAATTGACATGTCTTTTAGATTTTCCATATTATTTACTGGAAGGAATATATTGAGAGTGGGTACTCGACTTCCCTTGCCATGTAAAATCAGCTTCCAAAATGGCGCTCAAGAAAGAAATATATAAACACATGAATTGTAGCCTGAAGGTCCAATTGCACCCAAATTGTTATCTTGTTTTTCATTTTAGCTCTATTGGATGCCCTTAGTGAATGGATGATCAAGAACCAAGGATTGTGCAGACCTCAGGATATATTCAGCTTATTTCTGACCTTGGCCGTTCTCAACTATTTGCCAACAAATGCTGAAAAATTATTTCAGGTCTGAAGCGTTTTCTCATTTCTCAGATTCAACTACTGAAGCCATTTTTAATGTTAGATCTTTTTTGTCTCAATATCACACTCCCACATAATGTTCCGAATATGTTTGAATTTGCTATTATGTTAAGATAATTAACATGATTCAAAATATTGATCCCTGTATTATTTTATATTTTGTAGTTGTTTCTGCCACAGTTGACACCGTCCGAGGCAGGAAAATCCTCGGTTTGGTTAGAAGTCGTGTGGTCTCTAGTATTATTGAATAAAGCCACAGATGAACACATATCTAGCATATTGGATCCCATGTTTCTGAAGCAACTAGAAGGTTAGTCTTACTGATAATCTACACTAGCTAGTGTCATGAAATCATGCTTTAACTTCAGAAAATTTATTGAAAAGTTGAGATTTCTTTAGCAAATAATTCTCCATTTCTTATTGTAACTCCATATACTCCATAAACTTAGTAACCAATCGGCAAGTTCCAAACTGTGAAATGCACAGTGGGCGAAACCTAAGAGAGTTCTAAGTGCAGTAGAGCCCCGTCCAAGAAAGTATGAAAGAAGGCGATATTTTTTTTATTTCTTCACTCTTATTTATTAACTAGCTGTCCGGCCCGGCTTCGCACGGTTGGTGAACCCATTTAAAAAAATAAGACATTCGTTACTGTCGTTCTGAGCTTTTTTATTTTTTTGTACTTACCTATAGCTACTATTAAATGCTTACCCCTATTTTCATTTTGTCAGTATCTTTTGTATTTTGTTGTTGTTATAGGTATTAAAAATTTCAACCCAATCGGTCAAGGCGTTTAGTAGTTGACGTACCGACAGCAGCGCCACCTACCGCGTCCAATTGTATTTTCAAATTGTCCAGGAAACCATCGAAATACCCATATCAAATTTCAACCCAATAGGTTCAGCCGTTTAGCAGTTTTGTGAAATAGATGAGTACGGAAGGATCATTTTTACTACCCGTTGTCCTATTACCCGTTTTCCTGCAGGAATGAAGCATTTTCTCGCGGTAAAAAGTAGCATGTGTTCATCAGGGATAATGTTGGCTTCTAATGGTAAAATAATTTTTCAAATTGGTCCAGTAGTTTCGGAGCCTATTCAATACAAACAAACAATCAATTCTTTCCTCTTTATTGTACACAATACACTAGTCTCATTTACATTTACAAAAAAAATCGTAAAAAAGCTTTTCTTCTTTCCTAGAATTAGGACCAATTTATCGTTTCAGTCATCTTGTAGCATGTAAATTTTCACTACGGTTTATTTTTTCTGATTCCATACTATTCTCTACTGCTGAGCACATCTGACAGGATATTTTGTCACAATGTCATGATTAACATTTTTCAATAACATAAATTGAACTCAATCTGCTTTATATTATTTAATTTTTCTCAAACCTGATATATGTGGATACACACCTGAGATTTCACACTGTACATAAAATAAAAATACTATTTCAATAAATACGTTGATATCTCTTGCTATATCTGCTTTGTTGTGATCCAAGTAGAAGGATGATTCGGATGGT